CGAATAGCACTGTGTGTCCCTCAGGCAGGAATGCCACAAGTGCATAGGCACACAGGGAGTGTGTGTGTATTTGTACACATATGTGTGCACGTGTGTGGATGTGTGTGCATGCACACATATATGAATATGTGAGTATAATTTGTGTACACACGTGTGCTTCTGGACATATGTGCCTCTGTGCACGTGTGTATATGTATTTCCACTACATGTGTTTGTCTCCACCCGTGTATGTGAGTGGTCACTTGTGCATATGTGTGGGTATGTATGCATCTGTATGTGACTTAGTCACTTTCTCATTGCTGAAGCAAAATACTTGATAGCTACGACTTCCAGGCGGAGAGCTTTACTTGAGCTCGTGGTTTCAGTTCACAGCTGGCCAGTTCCAAGGTGGAAAAAAGCACGATTGAATGATGTAGTGGAGGGAAAGGTGTTCACCCCATGGCAGCCAGAAAGTAGAGAGAGAAGGGAGGGCTGAGGACAGGAATACGCTCTTCTACAACTGGTGCCATCGCCATGGGAGTCAGTGTGGAGAGTCCTCAAACACTAAAAGTAGAAATTCCACTCCCTCCTATTCTTCTAGGTATCTTTTCCAAAGAGTTGAAGACCTCATCATACTACAGTGACCCGCAAGTCCCCATGTTTAAGCGACATAACTCTTGACAGCTAAATCCTGGATGCCACCTGTATGCGGATCGACAGATGAGTGGATAAAGAAAATGTGGTGTTTACACACAATGGAGCACTACTTTACCATCAAGAAGAATAAACTTGAGTTATTTGTAGGAAAATGGAAGCACCTTGAGGCTGTCATGTTAAGTGATGTAAATCACACACATGAGGTTAAATATCACAAGTTTATCTTATATGAGAAGCCCAATATATAAACAGTGCAAAGTAAATGACAGGTAATAGATAAAAGTATCTATTCTTCGAGATCATGCCTCCTGTGACCCACCCCCAACCGGACTCCCCTACTAATAGCACATTTAGCTACTGAATTCATCTGCGAACGAATTAACTTATGAGTACAGCAGTCCCATGACCCAGTCACCCTTCAGATATGAGAAGCTGGGGGGACATTTGAGATCTAAGCCGTAACAGTATGCTTGGGTATGTGCATATGGGTACGTGGGTCTGTACTAGTGTGTGATTTCACAGGTATGGGTGTGCCCAGATGGACACACGTGGAGGGCTGTGGATATGTGTGTGTGCGTACACATCAGTATGGGACTGTGTGTGTGTCAGATGAGGGCCTAAAAGGCCATGCCATCTGGTTTTTGTGTGGGGGGTGCAAATGGGAATGTGTCCCCATAGCATCTCACGTCTTGACTGAGTGGGCAACTGAGTGGGCAGTGGAAGAAGCCCAAACCCAAGAAGGAAGGATGGAGAAGATTGCAGTGAGAAGAGAGAAGCAGAAGTGTGTTGCCTGAAGAGCTCCAGCAGGACCTGGGATGGAGAAACTGAAGATGGAAAGGACATCCCATTGCTGTGTGGCAGACACGATACACTGAGCTCTGGGGCTCTTCTGCCATAGACAAGGAGAGAAAAGCCCAGAGAGCTCGAGTGACCTGCCTCATTTGCAGTGGTGGAGCCATGACTCAAGGACAGGGCCCTCTGACCTCCAGGCCTGGGCTCCTTTGACCTCTGGATTGTGTCTTGGGGATAAGGAGACAGAGTAGGGAGAGGTACAGGCTCTGGGTCCTTACTCTGCACAGCTCCACATAGAAGAGGTGCACTGATCCCCTATCTCAGGGAGGCCACCAGCTCCAGGCACAGAGTGGGCAACCAGACACCAAAGAGGGAGACCAGACCCCATAGAGCTGGATGACAGCATCCTGAGCCTGGGTAGGGGAGGAATCGCCAGGCAGAAGATAGCCCAGGACACAGGAGGACAGTGGCAATGAGATGGACAGAGAGGGGGCTCAGCCTTGACTCCAGAGTGTTCGCGAGTTAGTCATGTTCTACAGTGTTCTATCTTGGGCTAAATTACGTTACCCTTCTGAGCCTCAGCTTGCACATCTGCCAAATGGGGCAACTCTCCCCACCCAGAACTAATCCTATCTCATTTGGGGGTAAAGAACACAGCCTTTGGTACCTCGGGGGAGAACCCCACTCTCAATCCTTGGCAATGGTGTGACTTTGGGAAAGTCATTTAAGTCCGTCTTCTCATATGTAAGATATAGTCTAACTCACAGGATCCCTGTGAAGATGAACTCCAACAATGCCTGACATCTTTAGACAACCACCTGGCATAAAAAAGGGTGCTGCTAAATATTAATCACTACTGGCACTGCTATTATTGAATAAGGTTGTTATAAGAATAACATGATCATGTGAAGTGGAAGCTACTTACCTTTCTGTAGAAAGGGAGGTTGGAAAAGAACTCGATGATTGTATTACAGTGTGTGTTTATTCACGCTCTCCCTCCCTTTGAGAATCACATAGATTCTCGTGTTATTGACTTTGGATTTGTCCCCCTGAGAAGCTTCAGCCCACAGCCCTTCAGTACATACCAGGTCTCAGCAGAATCTTTTAACAGTGCCTCGCTTATTGTTTTCTTTGACTATGAGGATATCAGCTGCCGGGAGGGTCAACTCCCACAGCCTGAGCCTTGGGAAAAGCAGTCCTGGTGCAGAGACACAGGAGTCAGGTTGGTAGCCACCATCAGGTGATGACCATAAGAAATAAATGTCCCCTGCTGACAGTCACCGAGATCTGGGGCTTGCTTGTTACAGCAGCCAGACTGACACATGAAAATGGTATAAAGAAGAAAGGTCTCCAAGCAAGTGCCACTGATGTATGGGAGGGAAGAGGAGCTAAGTTTAGTAGCTGAGGTCAAGGAGGGAATTGGAGTAGTTAAAACACACACACACACACACACACACACACACACACACACACACACACACAAACATACACACATACCCCATGTTGCTTTTCCTCTACTTCCATATGTCATCCAACATGTTAAAACTTAGTAGACCTTTGGAGTTAACTAGCTGTCCCATAGGATCCCCTCACCCACACCCCTGCCCTAGCCTTGATTCCTTGGTTGTCTCATTGAGAAAGTCCAAAAAGTCCAGGGCATTGATTTTTGTTCTGTTTGCTTTTACGTACTTAGGCCATCTTATTAGGAACCAGAAGGCAGCAGGCCAACATCAGCCCCTGCCACCAACTATGGGAGCAGTTCTGGCCTCCAGAGAACAGTGGTTCCCTTCCTGTGGGTCTTCTTTCCAGAGCCAGGTCGTAAACTTGCGGAGCAATGGTTCTATGCCATCCTCTGCTGGGCCTCTCACCCGCAAGTGAGAGCAGAGGACTGTGCTACGCTGTCTGCCCTCTGGCCCAGCCACCCTCACAAGTGGTCGTAGCAGGGCCTGGCAAACACTGCCATCTTGCTCTCTGGAAGAGAAGCTGTTCATAGATTCCAACCTCACTTGGTTGGGGAAGTTCCCATTTGGAGTGATTTCAGTCCAGGAGGCAAAGCAAACATCTGGCTGCACAGCTCCCTTTCTCCCTGCCAGCCGCCCCACTCAGGGATTCCAGGCATTTATCCCATTGCTCGGCCATTTTCTTTTCATACCATCTAGCTGAGCCTCGGTCATCCCTCCCATCCGGAAAGCTGTTCGCTGTCGCTCTCCCCTCGCATCTGCTCCTGGCCCTGACAGGAATTTTCCTGTGGCGTTCTGTGGTCACAGTCCTGTAATTTACGGCCCAGGCTCTCACCGCACTGAAGATCTTGGTGCTCTGGTTAACTGTCACAGAAGGCCTTGGAGACGCTGCCTCTGGGGTCCAGCAGCACCCCACACCCAGCAGCATGCCTAGTTGCTGTTTTGTTGCTCTCAGGATGTAAGATCAGAGACGTGTGTGGGCAACATTGGGGGCTGCTGGCCAGAAATACGGGAGGGAAGGGAGCTCAGGCTGCCTGTGCACGACTGTGATCAAGGCTCTTAGTTCTTCGCTGTTCAGCCCGCAGAAGTCTGTGGGCTCCCTTTCCCCCTTGCTCCGCTCGTGTCTTCATCAGACTTCACTCAGCTTCCTTTGGCTCCTACTTCCACACTCCCCCAGCAGTCTCTCTCTTTGCTTCCTTCTGTCTGAGCATCCAGAGCTCTGTGGCTTCTTACTGCTTTCTCTTGTGGGGTCTCTCAGCTCTGACCGCCACTTCTCTGGTTCCTCGACACATACCACACCTCCTGTGACTTCTCTTGGATGCCCCATTACCTCAGCACGGTCCTCCCTGTCCATTCCCATCTACCATCCACTCTCGGGCCCACCCGACCATTCCAGCTCCTCCTCAAAGTTTCCTTCCACCACCCTTCCTTCCAGGGTCCCTGTCGTTCTTGCTAACGAGCTCCTCACATGCGCTGCGTCCTGCCCTATTTCCCAGGTGCTACCTCTGCACTGCTGCTCAGTAAGGGGAAAGCTCAGGAAGGGCCGCTGCAGAGCATAAGTCAGCATCCCCCTAACCAGCGTTCTCTTCGTATGATCCAGCTTCTGCAGATGTGGGGAGGAGTGAGACAGAACTGCTATGTCTAGCACAGAAATCAGAACGGAACCCAGGGGCAGTTCAAGTGTAACAGCAGCATTTGTGAAACCAGATCATGTCATTCCTTTGTTTAAAACCCATCAGTGGTTTCCATTGGTACCAGGGGCCATATCTCATGCTTTGTGTGGCTTGCATGTGCCTGCACTATGGAGGCTCTGTTGGCTTCTTCAGCCTTCTTTCAAGACACACTTTCCCTGGGCCATCCTACCCCATTCATCACCCTGGTTTTCAGATTCTCACAGAGAGAGAGAGAAAGAGAGAGAGAGACACAGAGAGAGAGAGAGAGAGAGAGAGAGAGAGGAACAGAAAAGAAACACTTGATCTGTTCAGCTAATCTGCAAGCTCCATATAAGAGGAACTGAGCCATTTCATTTCCACAAAGCATGAAATGACGCTTAGCACAAGTAAGTGTTCAATAATTTGTTTAAATGTCTGAGTGAGTGACTTATATACTGGTGTGAATGGAGATGTGATATGGGTTGAATGTTGGTTTGTTCTACAAGGGTTAATGTGCTTCGAGTTTGGCCTTCTCTGTAGTGGTGCTGCTAAGTGGTTGGGCCCAGTGAGGGCAAGGGCTGTGCCTCTTTCTCTCCCAGGCTTGGCTGTGACATGGTCTTTTCCTCTCACACGCTTATCTGCCATGAGGAGCCTTCTGTCCCAAGGTAATGCACCTAAGGGGGCTCCACTAGAGCCAGAGCTATGTTATTTAGACTTTCGGCCTCCAAAACAGAAAGTTACATAAACTTCTTTTCTTTATAAATATCCAGCCTCGAATATTTCATGACAGTAATGAAAAACAAACTAATACAAGATGAGAAATCATTAGATACAGATGAGGTACAGGCAGTGACACTCAGGATGAAGATCAGAGTGCCCCCATGATGAGAACAGCCTAGTTCGTATCGGGAAAACCAGGAGTGACAAGCTTCTCCAGGAAGATCAATAGCACACTACCTTCCGCTCCAGTTCTCCTGTGCCATTAGGAACAATTCTCAGGTGGGTCTTCCACACCCAGAACCATACTAACTCAGTTCAGCTGGGCGTTCTAAGTTGACCATTCATTCATTAACCCACCACACCGAGGAAGGAATAGGAATGGCTTAGGTGAAGACTTTTAGCAGCTGCCAACTGAAGCATGCAAAGCTTGGAGACAAGACGACAGGCTCTGGAAACTCTCCAGTGTTGGCTAAGAAATCATGCAGACTAGGGCAGGAGAATGAGGATGCCTGGGTGCAGAGGCCTGGGGAGGAGCCAGTAAGACTCACTGGTGGAGTAGAGAAGAAATCAACTCCTGGAATATGGGAACTTAAGGTCTCAGGGTGGGTGATGATTAATTTATGTGTTAACCTGACTGGGCTAAAGGATGCCCTGAAAATTAGTAACACATTATTTCTGGGTGTCTCTGTGAGGGCGTTTTCAGAAGAGACTGGCTTTTCAGTTAGCAAATCCAGTGAAGAACATCACCCTCACCAACATGGGTGGGCATCATCCACATCTTTGAAAGCCTGAATTAAAACAAAAAAGCAAAAGAAGGATGAAGTCTCTTCCTCCCTTCTTGAACTGAGTTATTCAGCTTCTCCTGCCCTTAGACATCAGAGCTCTTGCTTCCTGGGCCTTTGGCTCCAGAACATACACAGCAGCTGCCTGGTTCTAGGACCTTTTGAGTCAGACTCAGTCACACCACTAGCTTTTCTGGTTTGGTCGGACAGCAAATCATGGAGCTTCTCGGCTCCCAGAATCCCATGAGCCGATTCCCATAATAAACATACACATTTATCTTCTATGGGTTCTGACTTTCTGGAGAATCCAGGCTAACACAGGGTCTCTTCATGAGTGCACACTTTGGTCTCTAGGAGAACAAGAGAATGGCAAGACCCTGGGGCCTGGACAGAATCTGGAATGGGAGAGGACTGTCAGGTCAGGAGAAAAGAGTAGTGGCCATGTTGATGTGATTTGGGTTTTTACTATCCAACAGCCCTTGCTCACTTCCTAGCTTTGTCACTTTACGAACTTGCTGAACATCATCATTTAATATCTCTGCAGAAGTGTCCTTCTCTCATACGGCAATAGCAGTGGTCTTTGTCACTGTGATTCCCTAAGGCAATGCGGGCAGAAGGTATAATATGAACATGATGCCCAGTACAGTCAGTCCTCAGGTAAATAGTAACTCTTTTGCAATAAGTATTGTTAATAAAATAATCATGTTGTACAAACAGGACGCTTGAAGAACTCATGCTTGGTGATTTAGGCACAAGAGTTCATTACAGAATAAGGGCTCCCAAGAGGATAAGCTAGATCTTGGGAGTACTGCGACCTGTGTTTCTTCGGATGGTCACTCAGCCCCTTGGTGGGGGCTAAGGAAGCTAAAGGCTGTTTCTCGGCTGGTGTGGCTGGAAGCCTGCGGTAATTAAGCCTGTGGGTGCTGAACTTGACTCATCTATAAAGAGTAGGGGGGCAGAGGGGACCACCCGAAGTTGGGTGCTGATGCCAGGGTCCATGGTGGAGTTCAACACCATCTTACTCCTTGGTAATGCTTCTGACAAAACACATGATGGGAGGCAGCGGTGGAAGCCTCTGTCCACCTGTGTGGTCTTAGTTAGGGCAGCAGAGTCTAGACCTCTTGGAGTTCCCTGTCTGTTGGCTGAGACATGCGCAGACAAACACAGTGTCGAATGGACCCAGATGGTGGTCTCTATTGCAGATGTTTTTCAGGCTCGCCTGTATGTGAAGCGTTTCTCGTGCCTCTGCTGAGCATGCATCATGATGATTTCTAGAACATGAGCTCACTTCACTGTGGGTACCGGATCATCATTATATTGCACTTATGTGATGCTAGCATTCAGAATGCCAGTTCACTATTCTGACTCAGACTAAGGCATGCGCAAGCCCAGGTCCTGTTGCTTCTAATCGGTGGGATCTTGAGCCATTTCTGAACTTCCATGGGCTATTGTTCACCTGAAAAGCAGAAAAGGGTTGTCAGGTTCTTAGTTTAAAAGTTCAGTAAATTCTAATTAGTTAATGACTGAAATTCATGAAAAAGCTATCACATGTGTGATCATGTTTCACCCTCACAGAAAGCTGTGGTGCTCATGAGACCTTTATTATGACCCTCCATTTACAGAGGAAATGAAGTTCTGAGGTGTTAAGCTGAAATAAATTTGGCTTATCCCGGACTTCATAATTGAGTGATGAAGTTTGTTCCCACACATCTCCCTATATAATGGACTATACTCTAATTTGATATGTAAACACTTTGTAACCTAAGATTATTACATCCTTATAACCCAGTTACTGAGTCTCAGCCAATCACAGCTGTCAAGCTTCAGCCAATCACAGACTGCCATCAGCCATACCATGTCTATATAAGGGAAATTATGGCAGGAGCCAATCAGGTTGTTTCTGTATGTCACATCCTTTTCTCTGGTTATGAATATAACCTGTACGTGTGGTGGGGCATGGTGAACCATCATTGTTTGGAATGGTGTCTGGTTCTGGAACCTTTTCCTTACTCAAGTCAACTCTATTAAATTGAACCAGCCTCTGTTTTTCTTCTAACTGAGGTTATGTGGTGACTAAATAGTGCATAATCCAGGATCTTTCCACCTAGAAGCTTGTGCTACATTTCCTATGTCAGAGGCTCTCAGAATCTTTCCGGTTGATTTGGCTTCTTATTGAGAAGGTGTGAGGTGGGTAGAATAAATGACCATTTGAACAGTCAAACCTGAGGAAGGTTTCTAGAGCTGGAATAGATTGGCAAAAGTTCCGGCCATTGCTCCTAGCGCAGGCCGTTACACCCAAGTCCTTCAAGACTAAAATGAACAGAGCAGGTTACGTTGTGAATAGTGGAAACTTCTCGGAGGAGAGCTTTCCTTCCCTCCAGACTTTGGCACTAATCTTCAAGGATAGGTGGAAAGAGATCTGCTCCAGTTGCCCAGCCACGGTGTGGAGGATGTTTCTGCCCAGTGAAGGCCTTGCTCCTCCCTGGTGGCCAGGAGTGAGAAGTCTTGGATTTGAGTCTTGATTCCTTTGCTTACTAGTCCTGTGGCTTTGATTAGTCATTTAATCTCCTTTCCCTCAGTTTTTCCCTATGAAATTATTTCTACCTCAAGAAAATAGCCATTGGTATGGCTCCTGGGACACTATGAACACTTAATAATTGCCAGCTACTTCATAAATACTGCTACTATTCTACAGAGCCTCCCTTATTTCTGTCACTTCTCCAGTTTATGTCCAGATTTGGCCAGGAAGAAACAGGCACAAGGATGAGCACAAAGATGAAGCAAACCCCAAAATGGACTCTGGTCTTTGGGTGTTTGCTCAAAGGCTTCCAGATTCTCCACCTCGAAGCCTTTTCTCACTTCCCTGTGACGGGAGACCACTGAGGCAGGCCAGGTGAAGGGACATGCTGCCTTCCTGCCCTCACACTCTGGCTGGTTGCCTTGAGAATGACGGCCACTAAAAAGTCAGCCTTGCTGCCCCGGATGTGAATTTGGACCGCAGGGCAGGGGCATGGTGGGTGGCACGGACTCATGCTTGTCTGCCTCTACAAAGCTGGGCCTCCTTTGTAGGATGCTGCATAAGTCAGAGCTCCAACAGCACAGTGGTAAAAGACACAATTGGGCTGCTGCTCCATGGTTTCTAACTAAACAAGTGGTGCCTGGAGGAGCTGTCCACTTGTCCTCTCACTATCCTGGCATAAGGAACACTTGGCTAACGTTCTTGGTCCTGGAAACCATGTCCTCATCTCAGGCTTTCTCCATTACAACCAACCCCATTCCACTTGGCTGGCTCTCCTGGGGAACTTGCTTAGTGCAAAACAAGTAAAAATATATTTTATATTGGACCATTGGCCGCAGGATGGGTGGGTTGTAACTTCCTTGTAGCCTGTTGAACTAGAACCGATACCAAGCATCGTTTTGTGGACCATCAAGGCTAAGCGCCACACCTAGATATACAGACTCTAGGCCAGAAGGGTCATAGGACCAAGAGGCAAACCCTCACTGAATTAATGGGAACTCTGCAAACTCAAAGAGCAGAAGCAGTTTGCCCAGGGTCACATAACAATTTAGAGAGAGGTAAGTCTGGAGCTCATACCTCTGACCTCTCTCTCCAGATCCCCAGCTGACTTTATGTGGGAGAGATATAAATCTTGGATGTTTTCCAAAGTTTTACACTCACTAATGTAGCAGGTGGGTCACAATGAATTTTAATTATTAGAAATACCCACTTAGGGATTCTCAGAAGCCATGATAATCATTATTCCTAATAGGAAAACAGAGCTTTGGAAGACTTTAAAGTAACTTTCTAATCCTCAAAGATTAAGTTTTGTTTAGTGGAGTTTGGGAGCTTCCAGATGCTCTGTGTAATGCAGTCACCTTCAAACATAAAATTAACTAAGCCATTGATTTGTACTTTCAATGAGTTCAGATATTTAGTCACACAGAATACCCCCCGCCTTAACGATTGCATGCTGGTTTTTGGGATATCATTTGAAAAACCAGAAATCTAAGACTGAACGAGTACTGGTACTGGCATCTATACAGCTGTGGTGTCAATGTGGGGGACATGTTCTCTGGGGAGAACGGTTCACTCTGAGGGCTGAGATCCGTGAACGTGCAAGCAGGCTCACGGAGCACGGGGAGCTTATCCAGTTGAAAGAGAAAGGAGGGTGTAAATGTGGCCAAGTGGAGGTGTATACAGGTTGATTTATTTATCAGTGAAGATTTTAAATCAATAGCCTAATTGGACAGCTCTTCAGGACATTAGAGTTCATTCATTCACACAGAAACACAGACTTTCACCAGCAGACTCTTGTCTCGATGTTTACCCTTTCCGGAGTCATAACTACCGTAACACAACTAGTTATCACCCTGTATTCAGAGTAGCACCCAACTCCCAGCATTTGTTTTTCCTAATGGCCCAAAGAGATTGAGTTTCTTATTCTCATTTCTCAGTAAAGGGAACCGAAGCACAGAGATTGAAGAAACTGCCAAAGACTTTGCAGTCAACAGGCGGCAAAGCTTGCTTACCAGGCCATGCCCACCTGCCAGCAGTGCCTCCTTCTTGACGAGGTTCTAAAGGACCCTGCAGGTCAGAGATACTAGGGTTGCTTGTCAAAATAGAATCCTTGCAGGGCACCCCAGAACCACCTAATAGGAGCCTTTGGTTTAGGATACTGGAATAGACATTTTTAACGAATGCCCCCAGGTCTTCCAGTGGTCTCATAGAGTGGAGAGCAATGTCTTAAATGAAGTAATCAATTTAATACTTCCAAGTGGGAGCCCTCTCTTGTCCCTCCCTGAGAGCTCAGCATGTTTCCCATCTGAGAGGTGCAATTCTTAGGAAGCCGACACCAACACTGCAGACGAAACCCTAACCCTCCTTTTGGGAGAAGCCTTGTCCTCAGTCTTGTCCTCTTGTCCTGTCTGTCACAGGACAATGTCTACCGGGACATCTGTCACATGCTTAGGGTGGACTGTTCCCTTACCGCTGTGACTTTCAGCTCCCCATGATGTCTCAGCCCCATCCATATCCCTAATCAGCAATAGTGACACTTCAGCAGTCTGCATGATTGTGATCTTGACAGTTCAGAAACAGATTTTCAAACCTGAATCCTTGCAGATCATCCTGCGAGAGGCATCTTTCCCTGTGCTCTAGGTAATTTGGCACAGATAAGGGCAAATGTGGTTATAAAACCTTAGCTGTACAGTGTACAAGCACCAGGTCTGTGATTATTTCAGATTTCTTCAGACAAAAACAAGCCCTCTGGTAGACAGGTGATGACAGTGTAAGGGCTCCGGTAGCACAGCGATCCTTTTGCTTTGGGAATGTCACCGACTTGATGGGAGAAGATCTTCAGCCTGTGGTGGTTCTGCCCCAAATAAGACAACAAGAAAGGAGTGAAAAAAATATCCTGGGAAAGAAGCTCAAGCCTGATGATACCTGTATCACACTGCTGCTTGTAGATAAAGATGTGGCACTTTTGCCTGCTGTCCCTGTAACTGATGATCAGATCCAAGGCCTCCATCTCTTGGCTTCCCTTTTGCCAAGGGAAGTTTCCCAGAGTGGCTCCTCGAGTGCTGTTCTCCACTTTCTCCCTACCCTTGTGCCCTCAGCTGAGCATATCTGGCCCAGGGACAATGAACCTAGGAGCTGCCAGAGTGAAAATAACGCGTGCAAATACGTCTGCTGGTACCAACTTCCCCCGTCAGATTCTCTGTGTAGGAGTTTGAAGTTTAGATAGTTAGGAATTTGTGGTGGGCGGAGACTCCAGAGAAGAGGGTATCTAGTCGTGTCATTGAAATCAGTAATGTGCTGCTGAGAGGAAGAGGGGAAAAATGAATCACTAAGATTGCCATGACCCAGCTGAGCCCCAAGTTATGTCCTAGGCACTGTGAGGTGAGCTTTTCCTTGTCCTCCTCTGGTGACACTGTGAAATTCCTGTTTCCTCATTACCCAAGCAATTTTAAAAAAACTCTGCTCATGCTCAGAAGCCCACTATGAGGGCTTCCTGTGTTACAGCCCACAGTGCCTCTCCCAGGCAGGGAAGGCTCTCGTAGCAGGGAAGGCTGATGGCCTCAGGTTCCAAAAAAGGAAGGTAACAGGCATTTTCACACAGTACATGAGACGTTTGGTGGAACACCTGAGAGCCAGGGAGGGTGTGCCCCCTTTTATGGGTGTGCCCCTTTTTATGAATGAGAACCTGAGGGCCTACAGAATGATTCAGAATCTTTGACCCTCAAATCCACATTCTTTGTCTTGTTTTTGGTAGGCAGTGTGTGATCATAGTGTTCCTCTGCTACAGACTGTACACTGCAAAAACAAGAGCAAAACCACATTAATGTCTCCCCTCATCTCTCTGGGACCCAAGGTACTGAAGGCAGGGCAGTCTACACTGTTGGTGAATGAGCCCTGTTTCTTCAATGAGACTCTCTGAAGGGCCTCCTGGCACAGTTCCACACTTCCCAGAGCAGCCCTTCAGGCTGGAAGGGGCCTAAGACATTCTGGGACATTCCCTCCTATGTCTCTTGGATAATGCAAGCTGATATTTTTTGAAAACTTCCTGATTGCCCCACCCACGATACATGAACTAGCTCATGTAATCTTCGCAACGTCCAAACGAGAGCATATTCCCACTTTATTATCTCTAGATAAGAAGTTATGTCTTATCAAGGTCAAATAATTCACCCAGAAGGACAGGCAGACTTGGCCCTGCCCCTCAGCCTGCCCTATTTGTTCTGCTGCCAAGAACTGGAGACAAGTTGGCTTAGACAAGCATCTCTATGGCTGGGGGCTGCCCCTTCTGCTCTACACTTGAGAAACTTTGATTGTTGAGACTAAAGTCTCTGTTGTTTGTCTACTGTACAGTAAAACAGGGAAGGAGAATTTATTTGGGAAGAAGAACAAAACCACTGCGGGAATGCTTATATGCAAAGTAAAGTTGGGGACTTTGGGTCATCGAAGACATCATATGCAAGATCAGCTTGAGTTTTGATGATATAGTTAGGATTGTCCCTAAGTTGTCAGATTTGACACTCTTTGATCCATGTGTCACCCTTAGCTCCCCACCAATATTTGAGTCAGAAAAACAGTTGTTGAATTATATCAGATGCTCTGTTGCCAAGTAGCAGAAAAGTTAGCAAGATTGGCCAAACCACGTACATGGAGTTATGGGTGCCTGAAGAGCAAATCTGAAGACCGGTGCGATCTTCTGGCATAGTGGTCCTTGAGTTTTTGGCTCTGTCCTTACCAGACTTTCGTGACTCCTCAAGGGATCAGAAAAGAGTGGACCATTCTCCACATCTTCTGTCCAGACAAGGAAAAGCCTTCTCTGAGTCTCTTCTTCTAACTACGAATGGGCACGAGATACAAGATGTGCACAAAAAATACAGTCTGAGTTTAAATTTTAAAAAAGACATTTATTATAGGAAAGGATACATTGCTGTTAACCCTTTTCAAAAATACCCTCCCTCACCTGGAACACACTCATCCCATCAGGCTGGCCACTTTCTGAAGCAGCTCTGGAAGTCCTCTTTAGAGAGTGTCTTTAGTTGCATTGCCATGGCTGCCTTGGTATCCTGAATCCTTTCAAAATGTTTAAACTTTCTTTGTTGTTTTTGACTTTGGGGAAGATCCAGAAGTTGCACGAAGCCAGATCCGGTGAGGAAGGCAGATGGGGTCACACTGTAATGCCTTTATGAGTCTGCCTTTCCACTGGCACCCTTTACCGTATCTTTGATCACTTCTTATAAAGTCATTCAGGAAAGAGGATTTCCAGAAAGTGGTGAGTGCTTCAGAAAGCGGTAAGAATCACTGGGTAATTATGTTTGAGGCAAGGGGGAGTATTTAGAGAGGGATTGATGGCAATGTGTCTTTTGCTGTAGTAAAATTTTTAAGTTGACTATTCACTATATCATTCAATTACCCTGTTCTTTGAACAATTACACTTCAAGGGAGTAGAATTACCCTGTTGGGCTTAGACAATTAGGATTCATCCTGGGGCTGGAGTGTCAGTTGTACCTCAAGCAACATGGTGACTTGGATTGGAAATGAAGAAATGGATACCAGAGTCCAGAGACCAGCCTAGAAATCCTATACACACATCTTAAACTTTTCTTTTCACTTCATATTTTTCCTTGTTGGTCTCTTTTTGGAGACAAGAACTTTCCAGCCTCCAACCAGTGGGCTAAAGCAATCCTCCTGCCTCAGCTTCCCAAGTAGATGGGACTACATTCTTTCCACTTTAAAGGAAGGAGAATTATTTTATAGTAATGCCTAGTGTTAATTTCCACCTTTTCTCCATGATTGGCAAAAATTCATTTGCTACAATTCTCAATATACATTTATTAAAAAGTAATTACAAAATAGGAAGTGGGGGAGATCTTTTTGGATGGCTAGGGGAATAAGAGACGGGGGTGGGGAGAAAGGAGAGGGAAAAAAAAAGAATTGAAAGGCAAAAATGATGAAAATAGAGCTTTTGCAAATGGGAAGGAAACCAAAAGTTGGAAGGAGCAGGGAGGAAGGGGAGGGCAGGGGATGACAAAAAGAAGAATTCAGATGTACTATGCACATGTACCAACTCCCCACAATAAATGTAATTACTATATAAACATGTACTAATAAGAAAATAAAAATAAAGCGCAATTCGTTGCTCTCAATTTCAAAGACTGAAAAACCTCACGTTGTAAACATGTATTATAATTCCTGATAAAGTATTAAAATTATACTTTTCTACTAAAAAGCACAATGCCAAACTGCCACACTTCCTCAAAAATAAGATGACAGATACTACCGGTGCAGTCTTTAAACCAGCAAACTGGGTGCTCTGTATTCAGGTTTCAGGTCCCACCAGATGTAGGCGTGGCTAAGATCCTGACCGAACCAGGAGGTTGTCCTGGCCATTCCGGAGCCCCAGAGCAGCAGAGCGCAGGGGAACTCCCACAGCCTGCCTGGAGCAATCCTCTTCCCCAAAGCCAAAACAATGGTCCAACTGACGTCTCTGAGTTCCTCAGGTGCTGTAATTTTCTGGCGTCGAATCTGCTTTTTATTCTTCTATGATGTAGGCAAGAAAGCTAGAGGTGACGCATTGTATCCCATGATTCAATGGGATCACTGGACTCTGAATCCCTACAGGAAAAGAGGTAATGCAGTGATTCTAAAACTTTTGGATCTTGGGAACTCTTTATATTCTTAAAAATCACTCAGGATACAAAGAATTTTTAATGGAAATTTATACCTATTGTTATTTGCTACACTGCTAACTAAAACTGGGAGTTTGAAAACACAAAATACACATTTCCTCAGCCTCGGAATAATGTAGCCTCTGGAAAACTCCATTGTACACTTGTAAGAGAATGGAAATTCAAAAGGTGAGTAATGGGTTAGTGCTGTTGTGGAAAGCATTTCCGTGCTGGACTCATTATAGTGGTATGTAGATGTTGAAAAGATAGGCTTTTAACCTGTCTGCCTGGGTTCAATTTCCAGCTTCACCACTTGCTAGAGGTGTGCACCTGAGAGAGCTGTTCCATTGCCTCATCTTCCATCTCTTCAGCTGCAAAATGAGGATAATAATATGACCTACTTCGTAGAAAACAGTTGGGCCACTTAATAATGCAAATACGCAGGACAGACCGAGAATGGCACCAATACAGACTGAACATTACCTATTGTTAAAAAATCTCAACTATTACCTAAAATATTACCATTCATCAGTAAATCACTATTTAGAGTAGACTTTTGTGCCTTTTTGTTGTTGTCGTTCATCCTATTTGTCTCCGTAAATTATAAACAATAGAAGTTGATCTGCCTCTCACGGAAGAAACCCAAGACCAAGGTGCTGCACTGGGTGACAGCCTTCTGGCTAAGACATCATATGGGGAGGAAGCTGAACTTCCCCCTTTATAACTAATCCTCTCCTCAGAAAAGGGCCTTAATCTATGCCCCCACAGCCCTGTGACCTCTGTAGGATCTTACTGCTCAGCACTGTGGCCCTGAGACTGGGGCATGTCCCTCAGCCTGGTTTGGGACTGTTGTCCTTGTGCCCCTAAACCCTCTATGAGACTGCAGCTCCCGGAGGCCAGGGGCTCAGCCAGTCCTCTTTCCTTCTTGATACTCAGCACTGGGTCTGATGCCATGGAGGAGACTAAATAGCAGAACAGCTGCCTCCCTCAAAGTCTGAGCTAGCAGCAGGACTCCCAAGTCATTATGTCCAAGGCAACACCACCAAGCAGTAGTTCACTACACACATTTGGTGTGGTCAAGGACAGAATGAACTGAAGATATAACACTGTATTTTCCTGACTTGGAGAACTTTTAATGCAGCTGTTGTATTTGTAATTGCACAAAAGGTGTTTTCTGGGATAGCTTCCACATGTTCAGGCAGACCCTCTCTCCAACCTTCTAACTTTCTGCTGGGTCCAGGGAGGCTGTGACACCCTGACTCTTGGTTGGGATCAGCCAATTCGAGGCATAGGCAGAAATGCAGATGTTTCTGTCCGGCTCCCTCCCTGATGGGAACAAACTATTGGTGGTGGAACTCTAACCCAAAGCCACAGCTCCTGTCAGGCCTCTTCTAGCTGCAGCAACTCTGGGGACTGGTAACTCGTCTCTTCTTATCTTCTCAGGCCTACGGTAGAAATGGCGGAGCACTTGTCACAGATCCTAGGGGTTGCCCATTGCTTGTTAAGTTCCCCCTTCACACTTCATTAAAATCTTCTCAGTACTCTGTTCCAGTGTGGAGACCCTACTGATACAGGGCAGGGGGATTGTGTGTGTGTGTGTGTGTGTGTGTGTGTGTGTGTGTGTGTGTACATACATACAAGTGTGGAAGGATAAGCATCAAAATATCAATAGAATCGCTGTTGTGGGATGTCATAATTTATTCCTTCCTTTTGTCTCTCTGTATTTTATAACATTTTCTAACTGCCAAATGTACTATTTATGTAGGAAAATTAAACTGAATGTGGTGGTGAATGGCTGTCATCATAGTGCTCTGGGAAGCTGAGGCAGGAGGATGAAAACATTTGAACCCAGTCTTGGCAACTTAGTGATTTACTGAGACCCTGTCTTAAAATCAAAAATCAAAAATGGGGTAGGAATGAAGCTCAGGGTGAATGAAGGCCCTTGGCTAAATCACTAGTGCCTCCCCGCCAACACACAAAAGTTCTAAGAAATAAATAAAGGTTCACAGGTTTTAAAAATCCGGTTGTTTCTATGAGGATTGGGCTCAGGAAAGACTAAAACTCTCAGATGCAGACCCTCTGGGTAGAGATCTGGCTCTGATACTTGGTGAAAGTAAAGACGTTGGACATCACTCCCCAGCTTAGATGTCATGTGGATTAATGAGATAAACACGTCTGCAGCTCGGAATTCTTAATATGATTAAAAAGAAAATAAGGAGCCCATTATCATTCCTGGGCTTCTGAAAGGTTCTCTAACCTTGGCTGCCCCAAGTCCTGCTGGAGGGGGACTATGCAGTAGCTACACTGGGCATAGAACAGAAGCGAGAGGGCAGTCTCCAAGCTCCAGCGCACACAGAAACCTCTGAGAATGTGATAAATGCAGATGTCCTGGGTCTGTCCCCAGAGCTAATTCATGAAGGCTAAGATGGGGCCCAGGAATCTGCGTGTTAAGGAAGATGGCCCTGCCCCTGTGGGCATCTCGAGGATCAGAGAGAGGTGCCTTGGCCATGAGATTTGGCTCCCACTTCCTTTGGCCCCTCATTCCCTGGGACCCAGTGAGCAGAGGCAGGGAGAAGGGGGAGAGCAGGTTGAGAACCAGGTGGCTGAGAGGGCCTGGCAGGGTAGGCCTAAGCCAACCTTGTCATCACTCAGGAGGAAACTCACAAGCAGGACATTGAACTGCGCCTGGGTGATTAGTGCTCCGGAAACCGCGGGGACCCACTGGAGGCTTTGACTGATGCTGTGTTCTTTTCCATTTCTTCTCTGATTACATTGATCCTGTACTTTTGCTGATGTTGTGACAGTCTAATTATAGACTTCTCCGCTGCTGAGCAAACAGTCGTCCCCTCTCCGTAAATCTGCCTGTTACACAAGCGCCAGCTCTGGGACACTGTCATTATGTGCTGCCAACCCCATGCTGTGCCCTGAGGAGCGCAGCCCCACACCCTTAGCTCCTTAACACTCACTGCTGAAGCTGGAGGGTCTGGGGGTCTGGTTTGTTTTTCTAATAGAGGGGGAAACTAAGGCCCCGAGCATTGAAGTAATTACCGCCGTGTACAGCCAGGAGTAAAAGCTGAGGCTCAAGATAGGAGTTGTTTATCTGAGGCCTCTCTTTTTCTTTTCTTCTCTTTTTCTGTTTTTCTGTCACATCCACTGAGTGCCTATTCTAGGAATTTTGAAGAGGAAATGTGTTGCCTGGCCCAAAACAGAGTATGGCAGGGTGCGGCCAGCTGGACAGCTTTCATCCTAGAAGCTTCTCAAGAATCCATTTTCCTGGCCCTCAGACCTGGAGGCTTCTGATACTTGTCTCCCTTTGACTCCAGAGCTAGGAGGACTACAGTACACCACTCTGCTCATTCACTGCTCACAAGACCCAAGTGTGTGAGGCTGGAAGGGAGACGGACGTGTTCTGGCCACCCGTCCTCGGAACCATGTTTCTGTTTGGAGAACCCTTTCCTTATAAGGTGAAGCCCATTTTACAGGTCATAGGGGAATACAGCACCCGGCCTTCCGGGGAGCCAGCCTACTCAGTTGGGCCCTGCTCCTCAGAGATACCTGCTTATCCCAGGGTGTGAATCAGAATCTGCTGCTGGTAAGAAGCAGGGACTCAGAGTCACAAAGACTCATTATGAATGGTGGGGGCAACAGTGAGGGGCACAGTTACATGCAATTTCCAGAGGCGGCAGCGGTGACACATGCTGTCTGTGTCTCTGGTGGCTTCAAGATGTTTTCCCCACACCAGTCCTGCAGTGTAGTTTTTAGGGCTTGTTCCTGGTAGCAGGGCCACTGATCCTGCTCCATAATATACAGTATTTTGAACAAGTTCCATATTATGTAAATCAGCCAGAGTCCATTTTGTTTGCTTGCAACTAGAACTCCAGATGGAGAGGAAGTGAGGGCTAAGCCTATGAGGGGAGAGGCATTTATCCGTTTTTCTCTGGCAAGCTATGTGGACAACGTGGACTTGAGGGTCGGGAGTTTCAGGCATTGTGGCAGCCTGGCAGCACAGACACTTGGGCACGAAGGCACAGTAGCTTCAGAGTGGACCCAGTGCTTGGTCATGTGAAATGAAATAAACAATTAACAATTTACACTCATGGAATCCCTTTTCCTAGAAGAGAGATTTGAAAGACTTTAATCCTCAGATAAGACAACTGGAGCCCTAGAAGTGAAGACAGCCCAGCCAGGTGGAGAGAGTTTACCCTCCTCTCCTCTCTTCCAACCTGCTAGCTAAGCTGTCCTGACAGTAATATGAGAAAAGGGCATGACGTTGGCAAAGGGCATACACCTCGTGGATGGTGAACTACTCTTTCATGTATTCATTACTTCTTTTGATTGGGAGGCAACTCCATGAAGCAGGTAGGCCACGCGCCATTTCCATTTGGGGGGGTCAGGAAACGAACTCGAAAGAGGTAAAGCCATTTGTTCAGGGTTTCACCTTGGGACAGGAATGTGAGCCATCTGATTCAACCATCAGGGAGAGGGGCAGAAAAAGGGGTCTAGAGACAGCTAAGTGGGAGGGAAGAAGCCAGTACTGCACATCTCTGGGTCTTCTTTTCCCTCGCAGTACCTCCATCACCATGCCCCTTTCCAGGCATCTGTTGCATTGCATTCTCTTCACACTGCCTGGGTGGCAGTGTCCCCGCTCCTGTTCTGTCCAATCTCACCAAGTCCTGGGTCCCATGAATTCTGGACTTCACTCTGAATCAAACTTACACTTTCCTACGCCAAACCTAGTTCTCTGTTTTTTTTTTTTTTTTTTA